GAGCGGCTGCGTGGGGCTGAGTTGCCAGCCGGGGTTAAACCACGACACAGCCCTGCCAATCCAGCCAGGCCGCCTGTGCAAAAAGGAGCACGCTAATGGTATAAAGAAAGAATTAACAATAACAGCATCGCACAAATGTATTAAGTGCTGCGGACTGAGGAACAGCTTTAGCATTGCCACGCCACTGTTGGCTCCTACCACGTTTTACACAGCACTAGACCACGAGCAGCGCTAACTCCAGCAAGGTCTTCAGTAACATCAGAGCACGACCGCACCGGTGTGACAGCAAAAAAGGTCGTGGTGAATGATCATAGTCAAAGTCTTACTACTTTTCCGTACAGACAGAATAAACTTGAGTGAAAATTCTTATCGTTATGAAATACTAGATGTGCTTGCTGGGTCTCTGCTAACGTATCAGTGCACGTGTTCTCACATGTTCAAATATTAACCTATAGATTTTAGCAGAACTAAAGATCAACAGACTTATTTAAGCACTTTTAGCATACACTACGTATATGCCCTATAAGCACATTTGCAACTGGCTTCTTTAGGAGCACAATCGAGATCAACAGATGCATCCCTATATCTGAAAGAGGTTACGCTGTTGAAAAGGAATCACGTTTAGAAATATTAGCTTCTTTTAACTGAAAGATGTATATATTACTATCATTTTCCCTTATGCTGCACTAATAAAGCATTAAAGTTTATAATCTACAGTAAGAACCCGTACCTGAGCAAACTGGAGGAGAGGAGGGCAAGACCAGGTGAATGGTGGTATTAGACTCTCGGAGTACATCACTTAAAAGAAATCAAGACTTCCAACTGGTGAGCAATCTAGTTTGAGACATCCATCCGTTTCTTACTGAAAGTGGTTTTATTTATGACAAACAGTACTATGTAGTTTAATCCCCTTGTTTTACTGCTAAAACTGCAGATACCAGGAAACATCTGCCAACAGCGATAGCTACTGCACCAAACAAGAGCTTCCCAAGGGAAGAGATGGAAACCCTAGCGTTTAAAGAAATTGGAAGTGGACCTCACAGAGCTTGTGTGAACATATGTCCTGGGAGCAGTACTGCTTTAGCATCTAAGAAGGACTCATTGGACAATCCAATAGTCTTCCTCTCTTCTTCCCTCCATCATTAATCCAGTGGCAATATTTCTAGACCTACCTGTTTGGCATGATTGACACAACGCAGGTACTGGCTAGCCAGGGCAGAGCAGCTGAGGGTCTCCTGAGCGTGTTGCCGATAACATTGTAGAATTTTATCCTGCAGATCAGCACAGATGGGATGAGACTCATATCGCCTGGGGAAAGAGGAAAGAAGATTTTGGTTTCCTTCTCAAAAAGATTTCAGGGAAGACGTCACTTTTAAAATTCTTATTTTTTTTTTAAAGAAGTAAACTAAATAATAGAAGTGAAGGAAAACACTTTAAAGTTATAAACCAAGGCTGTTTCTAGTGTTATCTGGGCTATAAAGTGGATAACATCAGACACAAACATCAAGTTGAGCTGCACAAGTTTGGCTGTTAGGACCACAAGTGTCATTCTGACCCAGTACTCGGGTTGGAGCTGGCAGAGAAAATGAATATCCAACTTCATACGAGCACACATCTTTAACTGAAGATCCCAGCAATGACAAAGAACATCTGACCTCACCAACATTAGAGAAACAGTCACAGAGCCACGGGAAAGCTTCATCGCTGTATAGCCCTATGACCATATCATCTCGCTACTTATTCAATATTGCTCCTGCATAAAAGTGAAATCACCCATTGGGCTGACCTGGAGAATATAAAACCCCTGCTCCCATCAGCAAATTACACCACCTACTTCTGCTGATCTGACGATAGCCTCTGTTTTTGGTGCATCCTCCTTCCTATCACCTCAATTCTAATCCTGATGCCAGATGTGCAAGTTATTGAGGAAATTTGCCTATTTTCTTTACTGTATGGATTCATTACTTCTGCCATCTTTTTGCCTTCAAAGGAAACCAAAGGAATGGAAGCTTCTTTAGTCCGTCCTGTAAAATCCAACCTCTTTCGGACAAAACTCTTGTCATTTGCATTAATCTGTAAAATGTTATCCACACTGATAATGCCACAGATTAAAATGAAAATACAATACTATCCTATTTCAAAAGTAAGAGCGTTGACAAAGTGTTTCAGAGACGAAACGTCCATTGAAATTTTAAGCTAACTGGACAATTACGTTATAAATACGTTTTAAGGTACTCATTTCTGTAAGAGACAATCAAATCACAGTTAAACCCCTTTCACACCGAAGAGAAAATATTTCAATGGCAGGAAAAACCACATGAAAATTTAGAAAACCATTTACAGCTCATAGGCCTTGAACACAACCATTTGCTTTATGCGTGCAAACTATGTACTTAACGCACCTTCCCATTTACCCTACTGGGAAAGCCTGACAGCAGCTGCTCTAACATCCATTCCAGCCCACGGTATTTTTAGTTCAATAAGGTTGTAAAAAAAATGAGACTCATCAGCCACGGTATCCTCAGATGAATATTTCCTTCCTTCTTATTCTGCTGATTGGCCAAGGCGGATCTCTATTTTACTAGAGCAAGAAAGTGAAACGTGAAGCACAATGCTGTTCCTTAGGGGAATCGACTTCTTGGCAATCACTCAAGATGTAGTACCAAAAAAGAGGAATGCTAAGTCATCTTGATTTTACAGTATATACCTATATAAAACACCCCTCTTACTCTTTTCATTCATTACCGTACATCTGTGAAACGCCTAAAACAGAATTTAAATGCAGCCCCAGGTGCTTCCACACTTTATGATCTGAAAGTTCAAACTTCTGTAGACTCTTACGGATGAGGATTTTCCCTTAATCCCCCCTCTGCTGATATCAGCAAGGACTTCAAAAGCGTGTTAGGCATCAAAATGTATGTCCGTAAACTGCTGCGCACCGACTGCTTATGGCAAGGTCTGTATCGGGATGGAGTACGGGAGGAAGCACCACGTACGCTCTTTGTAGATGTAAGACTCACAACGGTGATGATTTAGGTCCAACTAAACCAGAGCTCGTTTTAACTGCCCGAAACCCTGGTCTGGATTGATAAACCAATACAATAGACCATGCGTTAACAAAAAAATACACACAGTAAACCTGGCTGTGCCTTTATTCACAAGTGATTTTAAAGTGGCTCCTTATATATAGGTGAAGAGTGAAGGAAATGGGCTGCTGTACGCTTGCGACATAAATTCTGTAAAGGTATTTAAAGTCCTTTCAACAGAGATACTCTAACCCACCTTAAGGAGCTTTTTAGATTGTTTTTTTTTTTCCCCGAGCCGCACCATTAATGACCGTTCAAAGTCCACAGATTATCCCTTATTTGAAAGATTCAACGGACTCTTTACATTGCCAACCATTTCGGAGTCCTGTAAGACACGTCATCTCCTGCCCTGCAGGTACTTGCTTTCATACTATGACTTTTCAGCGGTCATTTTTCAAAACACTGCCTGTCCTTCCAGGCACTGCAGACCCAACGCAGGTCAATGCGAACAGGGCCACTTCCTTCAAGTCAACAAAGTCCATTTTCTTGAATTAATCTGTTGAAGGAGAGCACCGTCTCCGTATTGATCTGCTGTGCTTGTTACGCTACCCTAATGCACTACTTGCACTTTTGGGAAAACGCTAAACGAGATTACTGTCTAACATTAGATGGCCATAAACCACGTGCTGCAGGATCTCCCGTTCAGGAAAGAAGGTTGAGATGCGCATTAGGGTAACCCCACCGAAGGGTTTGCGATTGATTTGTTTGGTGATGGATGACGGGACTCTTAGATGGATGGTCAGAACCAGCCAACAGCAAGGAAACTCCTCAAAAGGGAAGAGACATATCTCCCTAAACCAGCACTTCTCTAAGGTTCCTATAAATAAGGGTGATTTTGCAGAAGCATTTAAGGGTCTGTGGGCCTTGACTGAAGAAAAAGCTTGTAAAAAAAGGTAGGTAGTGCAAAATCAGTAATTATGTGGAATCCATAGTAAAAACGTGGAGGTTTAAAATACCTGAATGGATAAAGCAACTTGGTCTGGTCCCAGAGCTGACCCTGCTTCGAGCAGGAGGTCCCTTCCCTGAACTATCCCGTGTCCCGAGAGAGAGATATCTGTATTTTGGGACATGTGGCAGGGAAAGTATCCCATTATTTTATTTTTTTTTTTAATCACTTGAGAATTTCACAACTAAACGGAAGGAAAAATACACAACATAGTAGCGAAGCAGGAGTGCCAGGGAACCCTGACAGATCTCCATCTCCATTCCGTGCAACTCAATAACTACAGAATCAACACCCATGGAATCTAAAATGCCTTTCTTAGCAAAAGTCAATACGAACAGCAGTCTGATCTGCGCCGCGTGCCACATGGCATGCTAGTAACAATGCGTTTTTATTAAGTTTACAATTACTTGATCTGCTTTCGCTTTTCCAGCTGCTCCTCAAGCACCTCACATGCTAGCAGAATATTCCTGTGCGCCGGTATAAACCTCCGAGGGAACCGCGCATCCACCTTTTCCATCAAGCTGATGCGCCACAATCTTATAAAGGTAATAGGATGAAGACACAAAAGAAAATGAGAGAGAGTTTGAAAAAGAAATATTCTATGCTAAAGCATGAAGAGAAAATTTAATGAAGGTAACTTTGTACTCATCTGGCGTCTCTCAAAGAGCATAGCTTATTGTACTCCTGGGGGCACCGAGAAAGGAGCCCCTTCATGGCATTCAAACAAAATGTCTACTAAAGAGGAAATTTGAAATCACCACGGTAAGCTTTACAAGTTTTGTGATAAAACTGACATTCTGACTGAAGGAATCTGAATCGCTGATGAGTTTCCAACTGTGCAGGTATCTGGCATAATCCCACCAGATCAGGACTTCAGGCAATTGTCATAAAATATGGGAAAAAAAATAGCAAGAAAAAAACAGCATGCAATACAAAAAATAGCGCCATTAGATGGCCAGAAGTATCCAGGGCTTAATTTTATTCTTCATTAAAATGCTGACACCTATCAAAAGCATCGGTTTTTATTTGCGTAGCCCTTGGCATCTAAGGCTACCTCTCTACTACTAAATAAAACAGACCAGAGATGATCCTCTGGGTCCAAGGCCAAGTAGCACGATGAAACACAACCTACATCTCTTAAGTGCAAAATCTTGCCTTCCTCTCCAAACACGCAGCTCAGCGCATCCGCATCCAAACCGCAAACTGGGGACAGTCCCCAGCACGTGCTGTTCCCCCGGTCATACCCGGTGTTGTCCAAGGACGAGTAGCTCCAAATCAAAACCCTATAAACGAACGTGCTACCCATTAGACCCAACGCAGCAGCACAGATGAGCGCTGGAGACGATGTCCTGACCTGTTTTATTTACTCCTACTGATGTAGGAGAGGAGCCACGCTGCGACCAGACCCAACCTGCACCAGGTAGCATGCAAAGAAAAGTAAGAGGAGGAGGATGTTTCTTTTCTCAATGTGCTTATAATGCCCACCAAGATAAGAAACAACAAATTGATGGCGCAAGAAGGAAACTGAGGCAATCCGTACTCTTGTGATAGGCAACAGTCTAACTGTTGTCAGGTGCTTTATGAGCAACCGAGAGGATTTTTAGAGGGATTTGTGGGAAGCTAATGAATTAACGTTGCCTACGTCTAGCCAAAATTCCTTCTGAGAACCAGCGAAACTTGGAGCTTGTTTGAAAAGTGGGTGAGCGAGGGATGGAAGGTGGTGTCGTGAGGGGTTCAGAGAGAAAGTAAATAGGGAATTGGAAACAGCAGGGCAGCAGAAATGGGACACGCGGGGCTTCAAAAGCGAAGACGTGTGACTTGCCTGGGATAACATTGATGGGGAAGCCAGTGGCAGGATGAAAGGAGATGATGTGAATACAAGGTGGGAAATTATCCGCAGCACTGCTTTCAACAGACATTGTCAGGGCATGATTTCACTTCTCATGGCCAGGGGGGCAAACAAAAATAACAATAATAATAAAAAAAAAAATATGTTGCGGTAACTGGTAGCCTGAGTTGTGATGGATTTAGCTGAGCAGATGGACAAGGCCATGTTTGAGATGTTTTGCATAAAGAGTCAGCAAGAGTGAAACGTAAGCCTAGCTGAGAAGACCTAGAGAGAAGGTCAGCTCAAAGATGAAGTGTAAGCGACAAGTCTGAAACAGCAGCAAGACAGCGGTATTTTCCATCGTGACACAAAAAGGTGGTGGTGAGGGGGTTATTCTCTTTTCAAGATTCCTTCATCCCAAAAGAGCCACTTGCAACAGCATCTCTGC